AAGATTACATTAATTTTAAGTCAATTGCATTGAGCTTATATCAATGGAAACTCTCATTCACTCTGTAATTGTTCAGGACCAGTGTTAATTGAAAAAAAGTTGATAGGTTCCATTTCTGAGATATTTGCTTTCTGTGATTCTTTACACTTATTAGTTCATTTGCTTTGTATGTGCAGTGCATGGATATATTATCAGTTTTGACAACTTGTATGTTCATTTTGAATGATTTTCTTGCAGTCTGTGATGCGCACTACTGTTATTATAGATTTGGCATAATCAAATATTTATTTTTAGAGCAGAATAAAATATTTTATGGCCCTGATTTTAAAATGAGTTTCATAACTTACTATTATTTTCTGAATCACCGCATAATTCACCTTATATGCTGCTAGGTGATACTTCTTTATCAATTCCTCGCCTCTGATCAGGACTTTGCTTCTCCTAGAAGTTTTTCTTTTCAAACTTAAATAAAAAAGGAGATAACTTTATGGATTGGTCATAATTTTATTTTACCGGTATATACTTTCATTTCAATACACGCAAACATACACTGTTGACTTAAAACAAAATTAAATTCAATCAGAAGGTGGTCAACCAAATATTTTAAAGGCATCTGTAAGGCAGGCCTATAAACTCATCCTCGTCCAATAAACTTTTTGTATGTGCCTACCGCATAGAAGAGGTCAATGGTTGGAACATGGTTGGAATGTGTTGGAATGGTGCAAACAAAATAATTACAAAGAAATTTGAAATTGCCACCTATTACAACTCATTTGGATAGCAAAAAATAGATAGATAGTAAATTCAAACATATATTCCAACCCATAACATTAAAAATAAAACACCCATTCCAGAGAAAATGGCAGCAAAAAGAGCAACAACTAGTTCTTTGAAAATGTCTCTTGTGTACTTTGTGCTTGTCACTTCATAAACAAAGAACCAGGCTGTGAAGAAGATTCCAATACCAAGTAGAACAATTGTTAGATGTGGAAAAACTGCTGGATTAACAGGGGAGATGTATCTTGCCATCGATTCTAATTCCATCTGAAAATGACAATGCAGGAAAGTTACAAGGGAGTGAAAAATCAAACAGTTCCATCCTTGTCACTATGTTGGATTGAAATAATACCTAAGGCGGAATTTGAGCTGTGACTGTCACAGTAACGTCAGACTGGTCCCTAACTATGATGTCTTCCTGCCTTACCTTGATGTCATTGTGACCAAGATTTAACTTACAGATTGACACCAGAATGTGTCAGGAGGACATCAAAATGGGAAACCATTTTCACATCACAGTGACAGTCACGGCTCAAATTCCCAATAGGATTAAATGACAGAACCCAAGTGATCCCTCGAACTCCAGGCACGAAAGTAGGAAACAACAATCAAAAGCTCCAGAGCTATTCTTCAGTAATTCAACAATGACTCTAGGCACAAAAGCCTAAAAGGACAGTCAATATCTCAACTGATATTTGGAGCTGTCCGAAATTAGTTCGTGGATTTTAGACGGCACAAAGTTTAAAATGTATCTCAGAAGATAACTCTGAAAACTTTTTGACAGGTTAGAATAGTTCAAGGATCAAAAAATATCAAGGCAGCCACCGATCTTGACAGAAAACAATTGCATAATTCAATGACAAAATTGTATTCTTAAAGAAACTCTAATTGCTGGACTGAACATGGAAGTATGATTCGATCTTAAGTATGAGTTGCACTGACGTCTGAACGGGTTGACACCGGCACTGGTACTTTTAGTAGGTGTATTCAACTTTCGATAAGAAAAAATACAAACGGATCGAAAGCCCACGACAAACTGCTACAGAAAGCATAGAAAATAACAATATACATACTTTTAGTCTTTTTAATGTGCAGAGTTCTAGCGAGCGAGTAGAGACGTAAACAAATTCCAGGCAGTACGTGGCTGAAAGCGGACGAAACGACTTGACTTTCGTGCCTTTACTGATGGAGATTCTTATTTGCACTTCTGACAAGAGACCGGATATGATCACACTATTCAGTGCTACCTTGTTAGGCTCTTTTACGCTATTTTCAACAGAAGGAAAAAACACACAAAACTCGCCAGATGTAAGAAAAAAGTTTTTAAAGACAGCAATAATTGACAAACATTCTGTTTGGAAATCACGATCGAAAATTGCATTTGGGTAAATGCTTTGCTCCGGTCTGCAGGCAACCCTCCGTACTTTCTGTCTGTGCCGCCGCATTCGGCTGACAGGACAGACTCCCTCAAATAACGTTTTGACTAATATGCATGCACTTGCCTAATTGTTCTGTGTTTTACAATTATGTCGCAACAGCAAGGTCTGGAAATCACTCTAGAGTTTGGGTACGTATCAGTCATTCATTATTTCAAATGCTTAAGTCTGGGAGATTAATGTAGGGGTGTGGGCACTTCCCATGCTCTCAGAAAGGTTATATTTATCATCACAAACATTTGTATTCTCTCGATCAACACTTTCCAGCGGAGGAGCAGAGTTATTATTTGGTAATTTGAAGAAGCACCAAGTCACTCTTCCTGCCTGTGAAGGAAAATGTAAGTCGTTAATGTTTTCACAATATCTCCCTGCGCCGTTATCGACATGAAAAGTTCAATTTGTTTGTTTTCTTTCAGGGACGATACGAAGTCTTCTCACTTGGATGAAAGATAATCTTTTAAAAGAGAGACCTGAATTATTTATTCAAGGAGAAACTGTGTGAGTACCTACATGCATTGATATTACAATTAGCTATGGACGCAATGGACGCGCCACCACCTCTTCCAGAAAAAGTTATAATAACCATTCCGATTAGTCTGTGTTGATCTATTTATACGCATTTTCAGGAGACCGGGAATATTGGTGCTAGTAAATGATGCTGACTGGGAGCTATTAGTAAGTGTGCAAGTTTAGATTTTGGTATAGAAACAATATTTGTTTCTAATCCAATTCAAATTTTAAATAAGACATATACATGCTCTTTTAAAGTCCGAACCTTTTTCATTACAGGGTCAGCTCGATTATGAAATTGAAGCAAAGGATAATATCTTATTTATTTCTACTTTGCATGGAGGATAAGGGAAGATAAGATGAGTTGAGTATTATTTTCCTTTATTAATTGATCTTCTGCACACCCCCTAATCCTTCAAATGCATCATGAATGCAAATCCAGCATAGCTAACATGTATTGCCAAACTTTGTCACCTCACTATGGTTTATTTATACCTTTTTACCAATAAAGAAAAGCAGTCTTTCAACTAGAGCTTTTTTCTCCCTTCCCCTTTATCAGAATTGTCATATATTATTTCTAGCTCCAATCTCAGATCCCCAGGCCTCTGGCACTTTGGCACTTCCCTGCGTCCCATCCCCATCACGCGGAGTGCAGAGGTCAGTCCTCTTCTCGCAGTGTGCCCGCCCAGGTGAGGTGGGGCCCGACCCGGGCAGCCGAGGGCGAGCGGGGCGGGGGCAGAGGGGCGCCGCGCCGGGTCGGGCCCGGACTGACTGGGAGGTGGACGACTGATCGTGACGCTCTTCTCTTCTTCTCTCAGTGCGAGAGCGCCGGTCGTCCCGTGCGCGTCAAGCTCCGTGCGTGCGAGTGAGTGGCGGAGTGAGCGGGCTGCACTCAGAGCCGGCCGCCGCCCGGCCTTCCCCGGGGAACTGGCGATCCGTGTCCTGGTCGTGGACATGTCCCCCAGGAGTGCTACAGTGTGCCCGCGCCCTCTGCGCCGCCGCCGAGACTGAGCGGAGGTCAGGTGCAGCTGCAGCCTCTGTCCCGTACTCGCCCGTTGCCGAGCGGACAGCTTCGTGTCGTCTCCCAAACACAGAATCGCGTAAGTTTAATGTCAAGATCCCCAGCTTCATGGCGAGGAAGATCTGCCCGCGGCGCGCTCTTGGCTTGTGCCGTTTGCTGCCTCATATTATGATTTCGCAAATGTGGGGTTCTGGTCGTAGGCAGTTCGAGCGCCGAACCGACGGGGGCTAGCCGCCGCACGCGCATTTCATTGTGACGCTTGGAGCGGTGAAGATTGTCGGAAGACATGTCGCTCGCGCTACACTGTCGCACACTGTACTCGATTAATTTCAGGTTTCTTTCTCTGGGAATTTTTCTGCGCAGGACGCCCATGTAATTGAGATACAAGTTTATCCATCTATCGCATGGACAGGCATATACAATCTTTGTCGGTTCGCAGTTTTCCGGACGTCTGCAAACACGTCGGTCTTTTTGTTTTTGTTTCTATCAATTTTGTCTCGACATTGACCTTACAAACCGGTTGCGATTGGCTGCTGGCGGGGCGGGGCGCCGCCGGCCGCACGGGCCACCTGCTGCTCGCCAATGCCCGACAATAAGAGAAAGCGCCCGAGGCGAGAACCTAAGCCGCGCGCACCTACACACTAGTACAGGGGCAGCCTATTGGCGCCAGCCTCGTCACCAACCAAAGCGGCGGGCGCGATTCAGCGAGAGTGTAAGGATGTGGAAGACGACTTACTTGAAAATAAATGATAAGGAAACCGGTTAAGCGAGAAAAGTGGCAGGATTGGCCGCCTTGCACGGGCGCGGCGCTCTCCGTGCGCACGTCGCGCTGCTGTTGCCAGCGGGCGGAGACGGGGCGATGCATGCACCACGGGGCCACGGGCCGCCCATCGTCCTCCCGTCGCGTATTTTCCCGCGTTTCCGCCGCTTTTCTTTTAGAAAGTCAAAACTTTTCGTTTTCGCCGCGGAGCCGCGTTTAGATTCTCGGTATATTCGTCTCCCGAGGCAGGGAAGGCCGGCGACCACGACGACGACCTCCCCAACGACTGTTGGAGGAGGTAAGACATCTCACCGCACCCCACTTCCTTACCAAAACAACGACCCACGCCGATTTAAGGACTACGATTAGAGATAAAATTACGGTCGTGCCATGTAGACGGCCACGGGGTAGGCCTTTCCTCTGGCTGGTTGCGCGGGGCGGGGGAGGCCATGGTGGGACCGGTGGGGCACATAGGCACCGCGACGACTTCTTGCAGCCCCACATCGCCGCGTCGCGCCGAGGTGGGCGAACCGCGCGGGGCGGTGTCACGTGACCAAAAGCTCGACGCGCAAATACCAGCAGCACATGTCAATAATCTTGACCCCCTCCGCCTCTCCCGAGAGGAGTCAAAACGGTTCGCCTCCCCTCCTCCCCGGGGCCGGCCACAACCGTTTCGGACCGCCGCCGTCGCTTTGGCAGCTTGGGCCCCTGATGTGGCGGACCCCCGCCCTGCCCAGGCCCCCTCCACGCTGCCCACCCGCGCGCCGCGCATCTCTTGGGCTGGAACTCCCCAGTCGCGTTGATATTCCCGGTGACGTCAGTGCACCGCGTACAGAGCCAGCGAGCCAGCCAGCAGCATTGTACGCCGCGCCGCCCGCCGCCGCCGCCGCTGCTTCGCGAGCCGTGTGTTCCGCGGGCGCGCCGCGTCCCGCCAGGTGCGTGCGTGCGAGTGTGCGCGTCTGCTGATTGTCGTTGCCGGCCGTCTCCGCGTCCGCGTCTTGAAGCGCGGCGGAGACTCCGCGACCAGGCGAAGCTGGCCGCTCTGCAAGGTGTCATTCTGCTTCCCCCGTGTCTTCCCGCCTGTCTAACGCACCGTGGTGCGTGCGGTGGGGGTTTCTGGCGGGGCGGAGCAGAGCGGCCTCGGCGCGAGAACAGATTCCGCGCATGTTGTTGCCGATTATCTTTGACGTCACCAAAGTCTTTAGCCGACCCGCACAACGCGAAGCGCGAGGGCTGGGCGGGGCGGGGCGCGGCCGGGGGGCCCTCATGTAGGCCCAGGACGTCGCACCTCGCGTGATGGGGCTGCGACGCCCGCACGGGGCGCCCGCGACCTGTCAAGCTAGCGAAGCTTGCAGAGCCAGAGCCCGTGGGGAGGTCGGGGTCGGGGAGGTGCGATGGCCCTGTTATTGCGCTCGGCCGGGCCGGCCCTGCCTGCCTCCCTCTTGCGTTAGGCGGGCGTTAACGATGAACGACTCTGATTTGTGTCTCGTGTTCCCAGGATGGCTCAGCGCGCGTTCCTTGTGCTGCTGGTGGTGTCGGCGCTCGGCGCCTGCGCTTGCCAGAGGCAGTACGACTACCAGTACCCGCCGACGCAGTACCCCATCTACAGCTATACCCAGCCGCCCTCTGTGCCGCTCTCGGTGCAGCCCTACGCGCTGTCGCCCAACCAGAAGAGGGAGGCCCAGCACGTGCAGCAGGTACAGGAGGCGCAGCAGGCGCAGGCTTCTTCGCACCAAGCCCAGGCCAACGCACAACCTCACTCCTACGCACCAACCCCTTCGGACCAGGCCCAGGCCTACGCACCTCAGTCCTTCGCACCAACCCCTTTGGACCAGGTCCAGGCCTACGCACAACCTCAGTCCTACGCACTACCCCTCTCCGATCAGGCTCAGACCTTTGCACAGCCGCGCTCGGACCAGGTCCAGCCACAAACTCAGCCGGCTAAGGTCGAGCAGACCGTGCAGCCTCCCTCGGCTCAGGTCGAGCCGTACGCGCTGCCCCCTTCGGGCCAGGTTCAAGCTGGCCAGCCCCAGCCCGCTGCACAACCCCCTCTGAATCAGGCCCAACCCCCTGCACCACCCCCCTCGGAAATGGTCCAGCCGTACTTACTGGCCCCCTCGAACCAGGTCAGTTCTAGCGGATGTTGTTCCGAGGGCCACCGGAAATGAGCCGCAGTCGACGGGGAAAACAGAGGAAGTGACTGTTGTATCTGTCCTGCAGCACACGCAGCAACCGGCGCGACAGCCCACGTACCAGGAGATGGTGGAGGCGGTCATCGCTCGCGGTGTGACCCGGCTCGCCATCAACCTGGCCAAGGTGGTGGAGCACGACGGCGACGTGTCGGGTCAGACGGGCAACGTTGTCTTCTCGCCACTGAATGTGGCCACAGCCCTCGCCCTGGTCCTGGCCGGCTCCAACGGCACCACCTTCAACGAGATTGCCAACGCACTTGGAATCAAGGTCGACGAAAACTTGCTGTCGAACAGAAAGTTCGTTCATGAGGTGAGATTCGAGATGGATGGATTTAACACGTTCCTTGCGGCGTAACCACTATGTGGTCACGCTCCCATTTTAAAACATGGACACCAAAAATGAGCCACAACGAATGTGTTAACGAAGGTGGAATTGTGCTTATCTAGTACCGGAGGACCTACCATGAGGGCTTAATGAGTAATTTTTCCCCCTGCAGAAATTCGGCCACTTCCTTAGCCAGTTGGAGTCGGGGTCGGCTACCGTGAACCCCACATCGAACACGACAGAGGGCAGCCATGTCGTGGTCGCCAACGGCCTCTTCGTGCAGAAGGAGTACGACATCCAGCCGAGCTTCGCCGAGATCGCGGCCTCGTACAGGTCACAGGTCATCCCCGTCGACTTCATGAACGACAACACGCGGACCAAAGATCAGATCAACAATTGGTTCTCGAAGCACACCCTGGGGCGCATCAAGTCGGTGCTGCCCGAGTCGCCGCCCCGCGAGACCAAGCTCATGATCGCCAGCGCGCTCTACTTCAACGGCGCGTGGGAGGCGCCCTTCCCCATCGAGGCCACCATGGTGTAAGTACACTTGTTGTGCCTCCCCCGCAGGTTCGTTCCTCTGCTGGCGTCCTCTCTAGCCCCGCCCTGCTCTCTCCACCAGGCGCCCGTTCAACGGCGTGACCGTCAACGGCAGTCGGGAGCTGTCCGCCGTCCGCATGATGACCAACAACATGGACCTCCCTTACGCGGCAGACCACACGCTGGGCGTCCGGCTCCTGGAGCTGCCGTACAAGACCCGCGACACGTCCATGTTCCTGCTGCTGCCGGACGCGGACGGGCTCGCGGCCCTCCGGGAGGTGGAGAGGCGCCTCCACGAGGACCCCGGCATCCTGGAGCGCCTCATCGAGACGCGGAAGGTAGCGCCCGTCATCTACACGCTGCCCAGGATGAAGCTGCAGCGGTCCATCAGCCTGCGCACCGCGCTGGAGACCCTCGGCGTGCACACGCTCTTCGACGAGCGCCACGCCGACCTCTCGCACCTCAGCGACAAGGTGGTGACCCGGGGCCCTCTGCCACCCCCGGCGGCGGCCGCCCCC